AGGTGATGTTAGGGTTTCCATGTTCCGTGACCGTCAAAAGGATCTTGTGCCATTCTTCATGGAAGGTGATCTCGTAGTCTGCAACACCATCGATGGTGTGATGGCAGCCCTCAACATCGTTCATGATCCAGATGAGTGGAGAATGTTCATTGATTCATCGAAGATGAGTCTTAAAGCTGTTTTGCTGCATGATGGAAATGTTTTGCCATCAATTCCCATTGGTCATGCAGTTCATATGAAGGAAACACCTATGACAACATGAAACAACTTTTCAGGTGCATATACTATGACGAACATCAGTGGCAGCTTTGTGGCGATTTTAATGTTGTTGCTCTTTTGCTTGGTCTGCAGACTGGATACACAAAGTACTGCTGTTTTCTCTGCGAATGTGATAGTCGTGAGAGATTCCCACTACATCAAGATAGATTGGTCACTCCGACAGTCATTGGAGCCTGGGAAGAAACGTGTTTAGCATCCACCACTTGTTGAATCAAGGAACATTTTGTTACCACCCATACACATCAAGCTGAGTCTGATGATGAACTTTGTCAAAGCCATGGACAAAACACAAGCGGCTTTCAAGTACCTCCGTGGAAATTTCCAAGGTTAAATGAAGCTAAAATGAAGGAAGGTGTCTTTGTTGCATTTGACAGTGCACTGCGTGGCAAGGAAAAGACGGCATGGAAAGCCTTCCAGTTAGAGGCAACAACTTTTCTCGGAAACAACAAGGCAGACAACTACAGGGAGTTGGTGGAAAACCTCAAGGCATACAAAAGCCTTGGTTGCAACATGTCATTAAAGATAATTTTTTTTGCACTCTCATCTATATTTTTTCCCACCGAACTGCGGAGCAGTGAGCGACGAGCATGGTGAGCGATTTCACCAGGACACTGCAACAATGGAGAAGCGCTATCAGGGCAAATCGAGCCCATCAAATGCTTGCAGACTATTGCTGGACAGTGACAAGAGATGCTCCATTTAATGAATACACGAGACAAGCCAAGAAGCGTCGAGTAGACACTGAATAAGGACTAAACGATGTACTTGTATATACGTAATAGTTTTTTTGTCTTTTGTTTCATATAAATGTTATGTATATAACCATTTTGCTGATTTTTTAAGTGTTACATGACAGGTGACATGTTATCATATAAAGCAACCATGAACACATGAAAAGAGCTAAGTTTACAATTTATGAGTAAAGCTCTACTATCTACACAACCACAGCTTGCGGCGGCCCCGAACAACCACAACCTGCGGCACCCCCCAACAACCACAGCCTGCGGCACCCCCCAACAACCACAGCGTGCGGCACCCCCCAACAACCACAGCCTGCGGCACCCCCCAACAACCACAGCCTGCGGCACCCCCCCAACAACCACAGGCTGCGGCACACCCCAACAACCACAGCCTGCGGCACCCCCCAACAACCACAGCGTGCGGCACCCCCCAACAACCACAGCCTGCGGCACCCCCCAACAACCACAGCCTGCGGCACCCCCCAACAACCACAGCCTGCGGCTCCCCCCCCAACAACCACAGCCTGCGGCACACCCCAACAACCACAGCCTGCGGCACCCCCCAACAACCACAGCGTGCGGCACCCCCCAACAACCACCGCCTGCGGCACCCCCCAACAACCACAGCCTGCGGCTCCCCCCCCAACAACCACAGCCTGCGGCACACCCCAACAACCACAGCCTGCGGCACCCCCCAACAACCACAGCGTGCGGCACCCCCCAACAACCACAGCCTGCGGCGGCCCACAACAACCACAGCTTGCGGCACCCCCTAACAACCCCAGCCTGCGGCACCCCCCAACAACCACAGCCTGCGGCACCCCCCAACAACCACAGCCTGCGGCGGCCCACAACAACCACAGCCTGCGGCACCCCCCAACAACCACAGCCTGCGGCACCCCCCAACAACCACAGCCTGCGGCACCCCCCAACAACCACAGCCTGCGGCACCCCCCAACAACCACAGCGTGCGGCACCCCCTAACAACCACAGCCTGCGGCACCCCCCAACAACCACAGCCTGCGGCACCCCCCAACAACCACAGCCTGCGGCGGCCCCCAACAGACTGGTCAAGTAAATCCTTACGATCCACTCACACAGCGTGCGGTGGGCCTTCATCCAGCAGTGGATTTAAGTACCAAAATAACTCGACTACTAATGGCTCTGCCCAGGGCAGCAGTGGAGAGAGCGCGGCTCTCCCTCAGGGCAGCAGTGGAGAGCATGGGGGTCCATCAGGGCAGCAGTGGATGGGGCTGGGTGGGGAGGGTGGGGCTGGGTGGGGGGTGGGAGGGGTGGGGCTGGGTGTGGATTTGCTGGTCACCCCGTGGTGCCCTTATAAAACTCAACGTTTAACCTACTCACGCCGGCTTGTGCCCGTCCTCACAGTCGGGCATATTTGCTGAATGCACCACGTGGTGCCGCCGTTGACCCTGGCCATTGACCGAGCAACCCAACGTTCCTACCAGCTCCCTCCGCAGGAATGTGTTTTATGTTTATATACATAGATGTAAAATGTAAAAACTTAAATTTCTTGGGAACAATAGCCAATCAGTTGTTTTAATGGTCATATTTGAATTCAGCAAATCAAAATCTATAATAAACAGCACATTTAATCTCTGAAGCAGACGACGTCTAAAAACATGTAGACCAGTGTGATTTACGGCCAGGTCACTCCTGAAAATAAGGTAATAGCTGCGTGGGGTTTAACCGGTAACATAAACATAGTTTAGTTTCATTTGTACAGTTTTGAAGTGATTTACCTTTCCTATACTTTGCTCTCCTATTGTGTTTTTGTATTGTTTGTTGTCAAGTTCTGACCTACCCCTACTGGACATCAGTGAAAAAGAGCTTTATAGCTCATCAGATTTCTCCAGTATGAATAAATAATTTGATTTTGATTGTTGTACTTCAATCGACGGGCGTTCTGCTCGTTGTTGTGAGCGTCGCTCCACCGATCTCTCAGTAGTAGCGTCCTTCACGAGCCTCCTCCACAGAGGCCGATCTTAACACCGCTGGTACCAGTCATTGGCAAGTCCACTTAGCTCCACACAAAAGACTCACACACACACACATTCAATCTTACACAGAGATACAGACCCCTCTCCCCGTATAACACGCAGACTCGAGGGGTTATTTCACCAGGTAATGCCCACTGAACAAATGCTAGCTCATCGACGCGGCTTATCATATGTTGAAATATATAGCAACCAAATTCTTTAAATGCGTGATGTTGATTCTAAATTTCGAGGGAAAAACCAGAGGACCCGGAGAAAAATCCACGCGACCAAGAGGATAGAGAAAGACACCCCGAACACCAAATATACAGCAGCAGCAGCAGGCGTCAGGGTCGGGATCGAACCCACGAACCTCCTGCACACCAGGCGAGGTAGCCGGGGCGTCCGGTGGCTGCAGCGCGGTTGCAGGCAGTTTGAAGCGGTTGCAGGCAGTTTGAGGCGGTTGCAGGCAGTTTGAGGCGGTTGCAGGCAGTTTGTGGCGGTTGCAGGCAGTTTGATGCAGGTTTCAGGCAGTTTGATGCGGTTGCAGGCAGTCGCAGGCGGCAGCAGGCAGTTTGAGGCGGTTGCAGGCAGGTTGAGGCGGTTGCAGGCAGTTTGATGCAGATTTCAGGCAGTTTTAGGAGGTTGCAGGCAGTCGCAGGCGGCTGCAGGCAGTTTGAGGCGGTTGCAGGCAGTTTGAGGCGGTTGCAGGCAGTTTGATGCAGGTTTCAGGCAGTTTGAGGCGGTTGCCGAGTCGCCGGTGGCGTTCGATTCAGTGGCATCGCGAGTCCGGCGTTGGGTGCTGCGACTGCTTCGGGTCTCGTTGGTCACAATCGGAATGTGCATTTAGACTGGAGGAATCCGATGAGCTAGAAAGCTCTTGTGTGTGTGTTTTTTTTCTCACAGGCGTCCAGTAGTTTCGAGAGTCGGGGTTCAAATTCAGGAGCGGAGCCGCTCCGACTGCCGGGTTGTGGATGCATGGATCATCACGGGGGTCGAGGGGGGAGGATGTAGCGCGTGGTCCAGAGATTCGCGGTTCGAATCCAGTAGGCCGCGATCGCTATTACTGCGGGGTTCCCCCCCCCGCCGGCCCCCCGGGGTCCGACTCAACCCCCCCCCCCACAGGCTCACCCCCCCTCCCCTGGCTCCCCCCCTCTCCCCAGACGAAATTAAATGAAAGAGAGATAGACTTTTTTTTACTTTTTAAACAACTTTTATTGCTGCCAGAGAGAGAGAGAGCAGGGGGCGCGATTTCTTGAGTGAACTTATGGGGATGCCTGTGGTGAAGATCGACTCGGCCTCAAATGAGTACCTGGTGCGGTGTGTAAACATCGCCCCTGGGGAGACAAAGGCGGCCGGGCGTGTTTCTGGCCACCCACCCCCTCGTGTGCCGTGCAGGCATTCATAGGAGCTCGCTAACAGCACTTGCCCCAAAATTCTGTTGAGACTATACGGGGGATCTTTGTCTTTGAGTTTGTGTGTGAATGTGTGCGTGAGAGTGTGTGTGTGTGAGTGTTATGTAATAGATATGCTGTGCGGTAGAGGGGAGGCTGTGGGGGAGAGAGATTGATGGGGCAGCAGAAGATGCATCAGCCACCCTGCTTCTATCATATTAAACGTACAAAGACAAAGAACCCCCGTGTAGCCTGAACAGGCTCTTGGGGCAAGTGCTGTTAGCGAGCTCCTATGAAGGCCGGCACGGCAGACAAGGAGGGTCGGTGGCCAGCACCACGCCCGACCGCCTTTGTCTCCCCAGTGGCGATGTTTACACACCGCACCAGGGTACTCATTCGAGTCCGACTCGACCGCCGGGAGGTCCAGGATCGGTTCAGATAATCGTCATCGGCGTTGGTGGCCGTGAGCGGGAATCGAACTCGGGTAGCCGGGTTCAAAGCGCAGTGCGAACTGCTGCGCCACTAGAACGTCGCCCTCGCACCTCGTTGTTCACTGGGACAGCCTGGGGCGAAGGGGGTGCGGGCTTACAGCCCGGAATGGATCCGGCTCATGATGGATCGCCTCCTCACACGGGAGCACATCCACAGCCAGGCGTACAAAGCCACGCGTCCACATCCACGCGTCCACCGCCACGTGTCCACAGCCACGCGTGCCGCCATAGGAATGTTTAATTTCCACCACTGGTGCTGCAGGGCTGTGAACAGGAAGATGCCTCGATGCTCACCGTGGACCCAGGAAAGCCTCGCCGAGTCTCAAGACCGCTTTTCAGGAGGGTCCTGCCCAGTGTTCGGTGTGAGATCGATGCCACTGCTGCTGTTGTGCGGTCCCGGTTGAGCGATGATTTGCGGCGAGATTTCTCAGCACCGGGGTTGCTGTTTGTCCGATGGCAGTTCCACTGTGTGTGTCGGGCTTCAGCTCTGGGAGGTGAAACCCGAAGAACCCGGAGGAAACCCACGCGGAACAGTGGGGAGAGAGAACACGCGCACAGACTCGACTCACAGAGAGAGAGAGAGAGGGAGAGGCGACCGAGTCGGGAGTTGAACCAGAGCGGGTTCTCGCTGTGAGGCCACGCGAGCCTCGCCACTGCGACAGAATCAGAATCTTGATTTAGACTGGAAGAATCCGATGAGCCGTGAAGCTCTTTTTGCACAGATGTCCCCCCAGTCGGGCGGGTCAGAAAGTTGCAACAACAAACGATGCCAAAAATACGATAAGAGTGCAACGTATAGGAAAGCTAAGCAAGTCACGAAAAAAAATGAAGCACGTGAGTACAAATCACGTAAGTACATGCATTCTTGACGATGTTTTGTTGTAACACCAAATGCATTCTTGGGCAACGCCCTGCAAAACAAAAAAACAACAACAACAACAGTCCCAGACCACAGCAAGGCAACACAAAGCACTCCTTCAATAGCCATGCACATGAAAATGTAACTATCGATACTACAATGGGTGAGGATGAAAGTCACAAATCACGTTGGCAAATGTGGCTGCGTCCGGCACACATTTTCTGCGACGGGATATTTTCGAGGGAAAATTCACGAAGTTAGCGGAGGAAACGAGGTCATTCGAAAACACTTTGGTGATGCAACGGCGAAGGCTTTGTCAACCGATTCCATTTGTTATTGTTGGGATAGTTAAAGGGCAATTATGCGGACGTCTTAGGTTTCTTGGGTTTGACAGTGTGGTTAATGGTGTAGCTAACTGTAGCACAGATTTATCAATAAGGAGTTTCCGAATGAACAGAACTGTATCGATCCCACACGGGGCGGGGGGGGGGGGGTAAGGATCACCGCGCCCCCAGCCACTCCGCTTGAATTTTGAGGGATGAGTGGGCACAGGGAGTGGGAACTCGTGAGAGTGAGATGCAGCGAACCGGAGTTCTCACCCAGAGGACTTCACCTCCAGAGAGTCATTCCCAGTGGGAGCTCCTTACCCAGAAGCATGGGACTCGAGAGACCGCTACGTGCGGCGGTGGTGGTGGTGGGGGCCTCTGAGTCAGTGGCGGTAATTCCACGATACCGAGGCGATGACCCAGTCCACCTACTTGGATCGACCCCACAGAGTCTCGCGTCTCATTCCCCACCGTCTCTCTCTCCCCGTTGCTCAGTGAAGGCGAGACGGCGGCGACTCGGAGAGGGAGGGAGGCCCCGCCCCAGTGCACGCTGTAGAGACAAAGACGGCCGGGGGAGTGATTAATTGTTGCCTGCTTGTTAATTGTTAGGCGGCGATCGCGAGCGATTAGCCGAGGCGGGGAGCCTCGGTGCGGCCTTGACACGCGCTCATTTCACGCGGCCGCACGCCACTAATTATCATCACACCGCCCCACGCACCCCCCCCATCAGCCCCAATCGACGACACCCGCTCACTCCTCCCTCTCCATCCCTCACTCCCTCGCGAGGGATGGAGAGGGTGGGGACAGTGTGTGGGGGAATTGGGATCAATGGGAGGGGGGAGAGCGGATTTTGGTGGAAATGTCTGTGGCGGTTGAAGGAAGGGAGATGGAAGAGAGGCGAGTTGGAGATGGGAGGAGGCCGGGGGGAACGGTGAGACTGTGGAGGAGAGAGAGTGTGGAGGAGAGAGAGAGTATGGATGAAAAAAAGTGTGGAGGAAAGAGATAGAGTGTGGAGGAGAGAGAGAGAGAGTGGAGAAGAAAGAGTGTGGGTGGAGAAAGAGTGTGGAGTAGAGAGAGTGTGTGTGGAGAGAGAGAGAGAGATTCTGCGAGAGTCTGTGGGAGCAATAGAGATGGGGAGAACGAGGAGGAGACGTGTGGAAGGGAGGCAAGTCCAGATAATTTGTCTCTCTGCCTGGGATCTTGTCCCGCTCACGTGCTAGGCAGACGCGTCTCGTCAAGTCGGTGTCTTGACTCAACACGTTCTACCCCCCCCCCCCCTCATCCCTCTGTCTCCGTGAAGCTTCCACTCATTCATAACAAATGTTCCCATTAGGCCACGGAATTATTCAGATAAAATAGTTTGTGTCGTGTAACCCTCCACCACTCGACAAAGCAAAACAATCATCACGAACCTGCTTCCGTTCCACCGTAGAACAACCCCCATCTCTTCTCCCGAGTCCATCCTGCTACTGCTGCTTCTCCCTGCGCATGTCCCCCAGCTAAGACCAGGCCCCACCCCTACCCCTATCACTACACCAACCCCTATCACTACACCAAGCCCTATCACTACACCAAGCTCTATCACTACCCCAACCACTATCACTATCTCAACCCATATCACTACCCATATCACCACCCCTATCACTACATCAACCCCTATCACTACCCCAACCCCTATCACTATCCCAACCCCTATCACTACCCCAAACCACTATCACTACCCATATCACCACCACTACCCCTATCACTACCACTATCACTACCACTATCACTACCCCAACCCCTATCACTACCCCAACCCCTATCACTACCCCAACCACTATCTCAACCACTATCACTATCCCAACCCATATCACTACCCATATCACCACCCCTACCCCTATCACTACCACTACCCCAACCCCTATCACTATCCCAACCACTATCACTATCCCAACCCCTATCACTACCCCAACCACTATCACTACCCATATCTCTACCACTATCACTACCACTATCACTACCCCAACCCCTATCACTATCCCAACCCCTATCACTACCCCAACCCCTATCACTACCCCAACCCTATCACTACCCCAACCACTATCACTACCCCAACCCTATCACTATCCCAACCACTATCACTACCCCAACCACTATCACTATCCCAACCCCTATCACTACCACAACCACTATCACTACCCCAACCACTATCACTATCCCAACCCCTATCACTACCACAACCACTATCACTACCCCAACCACTATCACTATCCCAACCCCTATCACTATCCCAACCACTATCACTACCCCAACCACTATCACTATCCCAACCCCTATCACTATCCCAACCACTATCACTACCCCAACCCCTATCACTATCCCAACCCCTATCACTACCACAACCCTATCACTACGCCAATCCCTATCATTACCCCAACCCTATCACTACCCCAACCACTAACACTATCCCAACCCCTATCACTATCCCAACCGTTATCACTACCCCAACCACTATCACTATCCCAACCCATATCACTACCCATATCAATAATTTTGCTGTGACGGTTTCCACCTGAAGACGAAAGCTTGTGTTGCCTCCGAAACGTCGTGATTTAATTTAGTTGTTTTAATTTATTTAATTTTACCTACGTGACTTTACCGAAAAAGACAAAGAGTATGAATCCTTGCAGTCACGAAAGCTTCAAATCTAGAATTAAGGTTGGTCACGTCGACAAAACGTGCCCGTGAGCTTCTACGTCAGCACACGCGGTGTGTTGGAGAGTGAACCCACGACAACATTTACAATTTGAGCACTGTGACGTTTCGCTGGTGATTACAGCACGACCGGATTCACCAGACGATATGCAGAATAGTGAAGACGTCTAATTGTTTCCGCTCTTACATCTAAGGGTCCAGGTGATATCAACAGTGTGAGCCGATCAGGTGCCAAGACCAGAGAGGTGGGAGGCGGGGGGGGCGGCGGTTAATGTAGTCACACAAGTTACAGTGGATCATGTTGATCTGAGAACATGCAGTACCCATGATTTACAGTTAACGTAGCGTGATGTGCCTTTAGGGTTTATCTTTGTTCCGCGTCCTCACCCTGCACCATGTCATAGCCACGTTTGGCCGCGCACGGCGTGACAGAAGCACAGCGTACGTAGAATACATACATCATGCTAATATGAGGATCTGCAATACATATTTCCGTTTGGATTAGCCACAGCTTATCAACATATGGTAACCTGGATGAGCACGTAATTAAACAGCGTATTAATAATACGCTTTCAGTCAGCACTAACTCTGTAGCTATCAGAACGCTTCAAATGATCTTTTTAAGCGTTCTCTCAGTTCCAATGTATTTTCTCATTAATCTCGGCCAGTGTTAATTCGTTTTACACTAAACAACAACATTATCAAAGTCAACTGGATGTCCTTATTGGCACGCATGGTCTGCAACTGCCGACAGTTGTGTTTGTGAGTGTTTGATATTTCTGTGGTGTTTTTTTTCCTTAGAGGTCAGCAACCTGCTGCTCCTGAATAGCATGCGATGGCTTTTTGGCTGCCCCCTCGCGACTCTTTCGCTGCCCCATTGCGACTCTTTGGCTGCCCCCTCGTGACTCTTTGGCTGCCCCCACGTGACTCTTTGGCTTCCCCCTCGCGACTCTTTGGCTTCCCCCTCGCGACTCTTTGGCTGCCCCCACGTGACTCTTTGGCTTCCCCCTCGCGACTCTTTGGCTGCCCCCTCGCGACTCTTTGGCTGCCCCCTCGCGACTCTTTGGCTGCCCCCTCGCGACTCTTTGGCTTCCCCCTCGTGACTCTTTGGCTTCCCACTCGTGACTCTTTCGCTGCCCCCTCGTGACTCTTTGGCTTCCCCCTCGCGACTCTTTGGCTGCCCCCTCGTGACTCTTTGGCTTCCCCCTCGCGACTCTTTGGCTGCCTCCTCGTGACTCTTTGGCTGCCCCCTCGTGACTCTTTGGCTGCCCCCTCGTGACTCTTTGGCTGCCCCCTCGTGACTCTTTGGCTGCCCCCTCGTGACTCTTTGGCTTCCGCCTCGCGACTCTTTGGCTGCCCCCTCGTGACTCTTTGGCTGCCCCCTCGTGACTCTTTGGCTGCCCCCTCGTGACTCTTTGGCTGCCCCCTCGTGACTCTTTGGCTTCCCCCTCGCGACTCTTTGGCTGCCCCCTCGTGACTCTTTGGCTTCCCCCTAGCGACTCTTTGGCTGCCCCCTCGTGACTCTTTGGCTGCCCCCTCGTGACTCTTTGGCTGCCCCCTCGTGACTCTTTGGCTACCCCCTCGTGACTCTTTGGCTGCCCCCACGTGACTCTTTGGCTGCCCCCTCGTGACTCTTTGGCTGCCCCCTCGTGACTCTTTGGCTGCCCCCACGTTACTCTTTGGCTGCCCCATCGCGACTCTTTGGCTGCCCCCTCACGGGCAGCCGTCTTTTGAAGAGAAAAAAAGCCCGAATTTATTAAATTCAATTCTTGACACTCAGGCGGTCCCCGATTTTACGGCGTCACATCAAGTTCCTGGAGACCCCGCCGTAAATAGGAGCCCCCTCCTTTCCTATCGACGCAAAGTCACCGTCTTGGTGACAACAAAATGTTCCAGTCAAACTGTAGAATAACTCGGGGGGGATGAGGGAAAAAAGGACTCAGAATAGATGCAGCAGGGGCAGCGGCTCCCTAGACTCGCTGGCAGCAACTGGCAGCCCCCCCTAGAGCGAACCACGCAATCGACGGGGGGGGGGGGGGGGGGGGGGCTTGTTGCCCTCTCCCTATGTTCCGTTTACTCTTTTTTTGCTGGCGCATTTTTTAAACAGAGGCATACTTATTCTTGGTTCTTTCGGTAAAGTCACGAAGAAGGGAAACAATAAAATAATAAAAATATAAAACGATAAAATTCTCACGACGTTTCGACTGCAACACAAGCAATCATCATCAGGTGTGAAAACCACAGCAATTTTTTTTCTTCAAATTTTCTTGCTGTGGTTTTTACGCCTGATGATGATGTTCCGTTTACTCTTTTTTTTGCTCGCGTATTTTTTATTTTTTTAAACAGAGGCATACTTATTCTTGGTTCTTTCGGTAAATTCTCCCGACGTTTCGACTGCAACACAAGCAATCATCATCATCAGGTGTGAAAACCACAGCATTTTCTTTCTTGCTGTGATTTTCACACCTGATGATGATTGTTTGTGTTGCAGTCGAAACGTCGTGAGAATTTTATTGTTTTATATTGTATTATTTTATTGTTTCCCTTCAAGAAAATTTTATTGTTGTGGTTTTCACACCTGATGATGATTGCTTGTGTTGCAGTCGAAACGTCGTGAAAATTTTATTGTTTTATATTTGTATTATTTTATTGTTTCCCTTCTACGTGACTTTACCGAAAGAACCAAGAATATGAATCCCTGCAGTCACGAAAGCTTTAAATCAGTGGCATACTTCTTTTGCTTCATCCGTACGTCCGTCCGTCTCTCCCGACCGATGTTTCTTAGATGAGATTAAAAAAAGACGCAGAGAGAGAGAGAGACGCGCGCGCGACATTTTCAGAATAGATTTTTGT